TTTGCATTTTGTAAATTGAGAAACATAAACAATTACAATATATATTTTTGAAAGCATTCTTGCTTTACAGCATTTTTTCACACCTACGTAAAACTTGCACAGTACTGTACATGCAAGGCTCTTGTCATAATGTAGAATATTTAGGGTTCTGTGTAATGAAGGCATCCCATGAACATACAGCAGGACCCTAGGATGGGCAGGCTCACTGATCCAGGATTTGTGAAACAGGTGGTAAGTGAGGATGACTAAAGAGAGCTATTGTATCCTCTGAATATAATATATTCCTTCAAGTTGCTTTATTCCTTTTGGAATGTAGGGATGAGTATATTTAAATCTATAGAGATGTTTTGACCAAATAATTCAATAAAATAATTTGTTTTCTGAAAAGAAGAACAAGATATATTTGAGGATTTCCTCCATTAGTTTAACTGAAATTCCTACTTTGAATAAGTTGCATAAGGGTGCCAGTTTTTCTTGAGTAGAATATTTTTGTCTTGAAAAGCAACACAACTAAAAGCAGTATTGAGTCTGGACCCATAAGAACCTCTCATATAAATAAATATCCAGAATACAGATGCTAAACTGTCAATGTTCACAATCTTTGATTAAAAATATGAATAATACTCAATATGGCTTCTACTTTGTTGCTAAGAAACTGTGCTTCATAGTTTCATTATCATTTGCAGAAATGTTTTTGCTTCCTTGTATCTTAGTGACTCCTCATTATGAAAGGGTAATTTGAACAAGCATGAAGTCAAATAACAAACCACTTTATTTAATTTATACCTCAATCTTGGCTCTGTCATCATTTTTCTTCTAGGACAGCATGCGAGAGGAGAAGAGATATAGAAGCAATACTCTTGCCTTCAAACCAACTCATCTTCTGAGAAAATCAGTAATGACAATCTTTCCTGAAAGATACCTTGTCTGTAGTTACCAAAATTCATCAGCATGGGATGGCTGAACTTGCTTAACTGAGATTGGATAATATATTTAAGATTAAATATAGTATTTAGTTATTGTTACATTTTTAACTCTAAACAGCTCAAGGTACAGTATCCTCTTCTCCATATTTATTTTCACAGCAGCCATGCATGAAGTTAGTTAGTCTGAGAAATAATGATAGATTTATCTGGTAAGTTTCATAACTGAATAGAATTTTAACCAAGGTCTCATCATCTGAAAGGCAGGTGAGGGGAACATTTTCCGTGACTTAATGAAAGGGAACAGATTTTGTTCACCTTTTAACAATATTAAAACCCACATCATCCAATGAAGCTGTATGATGGGAGAACTAGAATATGAAGCACATACTAGGAGGAGCACCAGAAAATATAGTGATGTCCACCAACTAGGCAGCTTTAAAAAGCTACCAGTTCTAGTGCCTATATACTGACTCCACACTTAGAAGCAAATATGCTGTTACTGAAGGATAGGAGGGAGTGTTATCATGTTCATACTAATGGGCTCCCCATAGGGCTATGTTTGACTACTGTGGGAAAGGAAATACCACATAGAGCTTTTGTCTCTTCTAGTCGATCCTTCTATTATTAAAACCTACCTGAAATGAATGAAATTTCTACATAAATATGCTTAAGATGGAACCATGTGACAAGCTTCTAGATAGTAAGCTGTGGATGGACTCAGAGGCCAAAAAATGTCTGAGCATGCAAGGACTGGAAGGGACCTAACTAGCAATCCCAGAGCTCCAAGGTACATTGGGAAGGGAAAATAATATTCTGGAAAAAGGCAGTGGCAAACCATTTCTGTATGTTGCCAAGAAAACTAAATGGATGTGTCTGTGAAGTCACCAGGAATTGAGCTCTGCTTGAATCATGACCTTTCCCTTTTTAGGAGGCATTTGGGGTGGCTGTTATTGTTAGGCAGAGGCTGTATTCATGTATTTGCACTAAGCCACGATGTAGCTAGTTTGGCTTTGGCTTAGTGTGCTGTGTGAATCTAGTCATTTATGCTTAATAAAATGAATTATGTTTTAACAAGAGGGCGCTTGGCCGTATATGAATCCAGCCATGATGAAACTGGCCCAAAGGCATCAAGCAAGAACCGCATGGCCCCTTCTCCTCACGAATCCCAACATGCTGGACTCAGGAGTTCAGCGGCAGATGTTCGGAGCAGATTTTACTAGCAGTCAAGACCACAGGGAAAGTGGACATTTTGAAAACCTCCGACTCAAAACAATGACCGCAGGACTGGACTAAGCGTGCCGGGGACCCGGGCAGCGGCCCCAGCAGCACCCGCACTCGCCTAAACGCGTTTACATTCGGACAGTCCTTTTTGCCCCGCCGAGGCCCCGGTAGCTGCTTGTTACCCTGGCGACGGGCTCTGCGCAGCCACTACCAGCAGAGACGAAGGCGGCTCCAACTCTCCCGTTCCCCACACGGCGGCTTTGGGCCTCGAGTCGCAGGGGGGGGAAGGAGTCTGCCCGGAGGGCGCGCTCGTTTTGGCCTCGGGGCGAGAGCAGGCTTCCAGGGCCCATGAAGTCGGACCACTCCAGCGGGCCCTAAGTGGCCCCACTGCCAAGGCTCCCTCCCTTCGCCTCAGCTGGGGCTCACCCTGCCGAGGAACAGATTGGCTCGAAGGTCCCTCCCGCCCCGTTGTCCCCTCGCCTTCTCGAGGAGGGCAGCGGGCCGTCCTGGGGGCGAAGAGGAGTAGAATATATATATGCACTCGGAGCTTTTCTTAGCATAAACTCTCGCAGAGAAACCTCTCGAAATCTTTGTTTCCCCCCCCCCCCCCCCCAATTCATTC